CTCCAGGTGATGGAATGGAAACCCAGACTGGTTTGGGTTGGAAGGACCTTAAAGCTCTTCCCATCCCTATCATGGGCAACCTCCCACCGGCCCAGGTTGCTCCAAGCCCTGTCCTGCCTGGCCTGGAACACTCCCAGGGATGGAGCAGCTACAGCTGCTCTGGGGAATCCATCCCAGTGCCTCAGCACCTCACAGGGAGGAATTCCTTCCCAATATCCCATCTGTCCCTGCCCTCTGGCAGTGGGAAGCCATTCCCTGTGTCCTGCCCCTCCATCCCAAGTCCCTCTGCAGCTTTCTTTTAGGATCAGTAACCTGTACAGGCTGCTCCAAGGGAAAACCACTCTGCTCTGAATTTCACAGAATCCCAGACTGGTTTGCTTTGGAAGGACCTTAAAGCTCATCTCGTTCCATCCCCTGCCAGAGGCAGGGGCAATTTCCACTAGCCCAGGTTGCTCTAAGCCCTGTCCAGTCTGGCCTGGAACACTCCCAGGGATGGGGATATTAAAGGTGAGGAGTTTATTTGGTGCCCCCAGGGAGGATCACAGGGTTGGTGTGTGATGCATCCTTTGGGGGGTTCATCCCTGGGAGCAGCCAGGCTCAGTTACAACCTTGAGATCTTTACCCTGTGCTGCTCCCCATTGTGCTGACAGGTTTTGGTGCAACTGCAGCTGCTTTGGGCTGGGCTGATGGGCCAGAAATTAATACCTTTAAGTAATGTGTGCTCGTGCCCTTTTGCTGTCAGACAGAAAGAACCACCTGTAAATCCTCCTTTGTATGACCTCAGAAATCCTGCAGTTCATGGCTAGTGAACCCAATCCAGGTGTCATTCCAAGTCTTCGTTCTGTTGCTGGGAAACAAGGTATAACAGATCACGTGTTTCCCCTGCTTTTATGAAAAACAACATTAATAACTCGTTCAGATGTTCCAAATCCAGCTGAGCTGAAACACAGTTCCAGGGACACACCCCACTGTTGAGTTAAACACTGGAACAAAAGTCCAAACCCACTTACAATGGGGAACTGTGCACTGTGCAGTTCAGATAACTCCTGTCAGCCAACATCTGTGCTGGAGATCTGAACCCCTGATGTGCAGGGCTCATTGTCTCAGGAGGTTTGTGGGGTGCAAAGGGCCAGTAAATCCTGGGCTTAGCTGATAGGACTGGAAGGCATTGTGAGGGGTTTTGGCAGCTGTGTGGGAGTGGCTGTTGGTTTGTGTTGATAAAGAAGGCAGGAAGTTAGTGTTTGTGATCCATGAGGTTCATTTAAAGGGTTGACATAAGAGAAAGCAAAGGGTGACAGAACATTGCAGTGCTGTAAATCCCAAGGGGACCCATGAGGGGATGGAGTGGAAGTACCTGGAGTGAGCTATGGGATTACTGTGCCCTGTGGACCTGATTGATGAGGGTGTAAACTCCATTCCCTGAGTAAACCTCTGCTGAAGTGATCGTTCCAGGCTGTCCCAAGGTCCCCAAGACCTGCTCCACCTTTCTGAGGCTGTTCCAAGGGTGAACATCAGCCTTGCCAAGGCCAACCTGGCCTTTGTGTCTCAGAGAATGAATTCATATGCTCAGGGATTTGTGCAAACATGTCTCTGGAGAAGCTTTATCCATCCTCATGGGAGTGGAATGAGACTGAGATGATCTTTAAGGTCTTGTCCAACCCAAACCAATCTGCTGTAGCCAAAGGCATTAATGAATCACCAAGTTACCAACCTGGCATGAGTGTAAAATCAGGTGTCTTGGGTAAAGGAAGTTTAGGAATCAGTTTGGGATACTTAGGAATATTCCACCCCTTTTCCCTGAGAGGAGAATACATTGATCCCTTCAGAAGCCAAATGAGTATGAGGAATGGTTTCATTCTGATGACACAGGTCACTTGCTCTGTGGTTTTCCTGGCTCTGTATCTTTCACTGGGAAGAACTGTCAGCAGCAAAATATCTGTGGCAAAGCTCCACAGCAGCAGGAGAGGAACAGGAAGTTTTCTGGGAGGCAAATTGTAAGGAAATCAGGAATATATTTGATAGTTTGGATGTGTGATGGAAGCTCTTCTAATAGTTTCTTGGGAGCTGTGTTAAGAGTTTCCAGGAGTTAATGACTGGCATCAGCTGTGATTCAGGAATAAATTTCTACTTCTGGGCAAAACAGAGGGAAGTGGGAGGGATGATTTTCTACTTCTGGGCAAAACAGGGAAGTGGGAGGGATGAATTTCTACTTCTGAGCAAAACAGAGGGAAGTGGGAGGGATGAATTTCTGCTTCTGGGTAAAACAGAGGGACACGGGGGATAAATTTCTACAGGGTAAAACAGAGGGAAGTGAGAAGGATAAACTTCTGGGCAAAACAGAGGAAAGTGGGAAGGATAAATTTCTGTTTCTGGGTAAAACAGGGAAGTGGGAAGGGGTAAGTTTCTACTTCTGGGTAAAACAGAAGGACATGGAGGATAAATTTCTACTTCTGAGCAGATCACAGGGAAGTGGGAGGGATAAATTTCTACTGGGCAAAACAGAGGGAAGTGGGTCAGAAAACGAAGCTCAAACTGACACATTGTGGCTGCATTCAGCTAAGATCCTCTGTCCTGGATGGTTTTGTTCCCTCAGGCTTCCATGATGTTTTCCCAGTGCTCCGGGAATGCTGTGAGCCCTGTGGTGCTGCTGCTGCTGCTGTGCTGCCTCCTGTGTGCCCCAGCACAGGCCAGCAAGGTGGGTCACCTGCACTGGGCACAGTGGGCATCAAGTGGCAGGGAAGCAACTCAGTCTGGGGAACTTTGCAGAGACAAGGGGTGTGGTGGTAGAGATGCTGCAGGTGGCACAGGCGCTCGGGGCACGTTCAGCCTGTGAAAGCAGCAGTGCAGGAAGATGTGAGGGGAATGTTCTCTCTCCTAGAGGAGGTTTTGCCTTCTCCTGCCCCTGGGGTGGTGAGGGTGGCAGGGCTGTGTGCCTCACACCACTGCTCTGGGTTCCACAGAGCTCAGAGGACATTCGCTGCAAGTGCATCTGCCCCCCCTACCGCAACATCAGCGGCCACATCTACAACAAGAATGTGTCACAGAAAGACTGGTGAGTTGAGGCTGAAGCCTGACCAACACTTCAGAGCTCCCAGCTTGTGCTAAGGAAGCAATTCCCTGCCTGTGTGTTTACAGAGGGAGCTGCTTTGGTGGGTGATGTTTGACCCAGGCCAAGGGCGTTTCTTAAACAAAGATTGAGGAACTTGGGATGGTTTCTTAACTCAGGGCTCTCAGCAGATATGGGGTGTACCCTCCAGCCCCTTTCATCTGGATCAGATCCCTGCAGAAGGCCCTTGGACAGTGTATCCCAGGGACTTTGGGCTAGCTGAGCTGTGAGGGGAGCTCTGAAAACCGAATCAGTGTTACCAGCCTGACAGGAAAGCTGGGACACACAGTCACCCCAATGTCCTTCCCTAGAGCATTAGTTTCACCTTGTCCTGGGGCTGATTGTGCTTTGTTTGTGCTGCAGCAACTGCCTGCACGTGGTGGAGCCCATGCCAGTGCCTGGCAATGACGTGGAGGCCTATTGTCTGCTGTGTGAGTGCAAGTACGAGGAGCGCAGCACCACCACCATCAAGGTACTGGGGTCCCTCCCTGGGCCTCCTTCTCCTCCTTGCCATGCCAGTCCAGGCACAGCCAGACCAGTGAGTTCCTGGAGTAGAGCCCAGGAAGAGAAATTACAACTGTCACAGCAAGTACAAGGTGGCAGTGCCAGAGGCATCTCTGAGCTGGGAGGGCTCCTGGCAGGGAGGAGCAGACTGCAGGGGAGCCCAGGCTGGCTGAGGGGTGTAACAGAGCCAAGCACCTCTGAGCAGGGGCTCATCTCGTTGGGCTCATGTGCAGCACATGAGCTCAGTTGGCAGAGTGAGGTGATGCTCAGCATGGTTCATGCAGTGATGGCACATCATCAGCCTCCCAGCAAGGGCAAGAGACTTTCTCATGGGCAAAATGAGAATGAGAGAATCATAGAGTATTAAGGGGTTGGAATAGATCATCCAGTGGATGGAAGGATCATCTTAAAGATCATTCAGTGCCAACTCCCTGCCCTGGGCAGGGACACCTCCCACCAGAGCAGGTTGCTCAAGGCTTTATTCAGCCTGGCTGGATTGGGGCAGCCACAGCCTCCCTGGGGCAACCACAACCTCCTTGGGGCAACCACAACCTCCCTGGGCAACCTGTGCCAGTGTCTCTCCACCCTCACAGGAAAAACTTCTTCCTAATATCTGAGGCAGCTGCAAGGGACCTTCCTGCCCTTTTTGGTGCTTCTTCTCTACACTGCTGATCCTTTCCCACTCTGCTGTCCCCAACTGCAGGTGATCATCATCATTTACCTGTCTGTGGTGGGGGCACTGCTGCTGTACATGGCCTTCCTCGTGCTGGTGGACCCCCTGATCCGCAAGCCAGACCCTTACACCCAACCCCTGCACAACCAGGAGGAGAACGAGGTGAGGGGTGCAGGGAGCACCTGGGTGGCTGCAGGCACAGTGCAGACAGGGGGACAGGAGAATGGGTGACAAGGGAACAATGACCTCCTGCTTGGCCCCTCTGATCCAGCGAGGGACCAGCACTGCTGCTCTCTGGCTGCTTAGAACAGGTGAACAGTCAGGCTCAAATCTGTGCAGGTAATGCTGAAGCACAAGAAGCACTCAAGGTTCTGTGTAGAGAGCCCAAGAGGAGCTCTGTCCTCTGGGGCATGGGGTGGTCAGGTACAAGTGACTTCAATTTGGTCTAGAGGAAACCAAAAGTCAAACAGTTGTGTTGTGCAGTATCCCAGGTGTGGTTACTTGATGCTGAGCTACCAGGGAAGGATGGGCTCAAGTATTTGCTGAAACACCTTCTAGACACTAAAAAGAGCCATCTCTGAGGGGCTGTTTGACCCTGCTGTGGGGCTGGGCACTCTTGCATCCAGGCTGTTGTTCCTTGTGCTTCTCCCCAGAGCAGAATTTCATTCAAATCCCATCTTTTGGGGGGACACTGGCATACAGATCTTGGGCAAGAAGAGTAGGGCCCAGCAGCAGAGAGTCTGTCTCTGTCTGTCTCACTCTCACACGTATACACACGTTGGTTTGGGGGAGGACAAATTTCTTGCTGCATGAAATTCATGCAATTTCAGCACTGGATTAGCCTGTCCTGTTTATCATTTGTTGTAAGCATAAACTATTCAGGCCAATTCTTCTGTCTGCTGATGTAAGAACCCCAATTCTTCCACCTGCTGATGTGAGGAGTAGCTGCTCTAGTGTGCATAGTCCATTACCTCCCTCTGCTGACACAAGGTCCTGCAGGAGGAGGTGAATTGTATCCTAAATTTGTGGGTTTGCTCCCTGTTCCACAGCAGTGATTCAGAGTTAGTCCCAGGTGCAGGCTGTATCAGGTGAGGTATCAGGTGAGGTTTATCTTACTCTGGTGTGTTGGACTGTAAACTCCCTGGGATAGGCCTTGGTGCTTGTGTGCCATGATGGATCCTCATCCCCAATAGCAATCTCTGCCTGGTTGCAGCAGGATAAGCTCCTTCATGGAATCACCAGGATTGGAGGAGACCTCTAAGATCATCAAATCCAACCCTTAACCTGTCACTACTGTAACCCCTAACCCATGTCCTCCAGCACCAGATCCAGACACCTCTCAAACACCTCCAGGGATGGTGACTGCACCACCTCCCTGGACAACCTATTCCAGTGCAGTTCCTTGCAGACTCCAAGCAGTGGATTTCCAGCAGAGCTGTAGTGCAGTTCCTCTCCTGGGGACCTTTATTTGGGCCCATGGTGGTCTCCATGGTGGGGAGATGTGTTGAGGAGCTCTGACAATGAGGTTCTTCATCAGGGCAACCCAAGCCTTGAATTCCTCTTTCGGTTGCAGTAGAGTCCAGCTGCCACCCTCTCTTGGTTCTGGGCATTCCCTGATCCCTGTCGCTTCCTTTCCCAGCAGGACACTCCCTCCCTGGCTGCAGTGCCCATCCCAGCTGGTGCCAGAGCCAACACGGTGCTGGAGCGGGTGGAGGGTGCCCAGCAGCGCTGGAAGCGGCAGGTGCAGGAGCAGAGGAAAACAGTGTTTGACCGGCACAAGATGCTGAGCTAGATCCCTGCTGGGCTGTGCAGCACCACTTCCCAAGGGACAGGGAGGTGTCCTGCTCCTGGGACAGACAGCAGTCACCTTGGGACACGTGTGGTGTTGGACTGAGAGCTCGAACCCTCTCGGATTACTGTCGGCATAGAGAGCAACAAACCAAAACACCTCCCTGGTTCTGTGCCCTTGCCCTTCCCCTCTCAGCCCACAGGCTCCTGCCCCTGCCTGGCTGTGCTGGTCCTTGGCCTGTGGCTGCATGCAGAGCTTGGCCATGGGTTGGGAACTCACCTCCAGGGGGGACTCACCCCACTCCCAGGGCTCTATCAGCTCACCCTGCAGCACAGGATCTCAGCAGGGAGCTCTGGGAGCTGGCTGAACCTTCCTGGGATAAAATCAGTAGGATCATTTATATGTGGGATAAATTATGTGATGTTCCTCCAGGATGAAGCAGCCACCTCCTCCTCCTCTTCCTCTTCCTCCTCCTCCAGTGTGTGCTGGTGTTAACTGGGCGTTGTGGTGCTGAGACACATGTGCAGCACTGGGAGGAAGAGGAAGGAATTCCTGCCAGCTGCTGCACTTCTGGTGTAAATGGAGGGATTTCCATGCCTCACTACAGTCTATCCAGGTTTGCCAAGGCATAACTGAGCCTGCAGCTTGTCTCTCTGCAGAGAGGATCACAAAAGCATTTAGAACCTGCACAAGAGTCCAACAGGTAAAGGCTGATTTACATTTATATCCTTTCCTGCTTTAGCAGTGGATAAAAGCATCCTGGAGGGAACCTTTGCATTTGTATCCATGTTGGTGACCCTTGGTGGGCAGGAGCATTTGTGTCCAAGAAAACTGTGCAGAGGCTCTCCTGGAGCACTGGAAACACTTATTGGGGCCCTGGGGAAGGGTCACTTGTGCTGCTCAGAGCACTCTGAGAGCTCTGACTGGACTTGGGCTGTGTGGAAGAAACCAAAGTGTACACTGATCCCACAGAACATTGGGAATGTCAGAGAGGCACTGGAGTCCATTGTGTAGCATCTCTGTATTAAATGCAGACAAAGATCTACTGCCTGGGTGGCTTTTTTTTTTTCAAGGGAAAAGTCCCATGACGCCATGTCTGGGGCTCCTGCTGCCTGGCAGTGCCCAGCAGGAGAGCTGGTGCTAGACCTCAGGCCAGAGCTGTGGTTGTGGCACTTGGTGCTTGGGCACTGCTATGTGCTGAGGGTGGCTGTGCTGCTCCAGGCTGGGAGCATGGCCAGACCAGAGCTGTCCTGCTTGGCACACATTAGTGACCTCTGCTCTGAGCTCTCTCATGGCAAGGCCAAACTGATGGGAATTCCTTGTCTGCTGGAAGCTGAGGGATTATTGCTAATAGCCTAACTGGGAGTGGCTCTGGTCACTGCCCTGTGTGCTGGTGCCAACAGCTTCTCAGCTGTCCACGCTGATCCTGCCAGACAAACCCAAACAGACGCTTTGGGGGCCTGTGTGTACCTGTTGAAGGTGCTGAAAAGGACCCAGAGCATCATGTTATACTGAGGTCTTGTCTCCTTGACCCATCCTTGCTCCCTGGTGCTCAATTCTGGACCTTTCTCCCCCTTTTCAAAACCCCATCTTCCCTCTTGGGGTGAATCCCTCATGGACACAGGGTGTGGTCCCTGGGAACTGACATTTCCCCATGAGGGAGAGAGAGGGAAAATCTGTGTATAGAATCACAGAATCATCATGGAAGAGACCTTTAAGATCATCAACTCACAACTGGCTACCAGCCCCTCCAGTGTGACCCCTAAACCACTACCCCATATCACCCAGTGCCAGGTCCAGATGCCTCTTAAACCCCTTGAGGGATGGTGATTCCACCACCTCCCTGGGAAAACCCATTCCAATGCCTGACCAATGAGTCTGTAAGTCTTTGATTCTGATTTGTGGATAAATCCTGCAAATCTTCATGCTTTGGGGAGAACAAGCTCAGGCCCAAACCTGACCCCAGCACTGAGCTGTGACCTCCCCAGTGCCCAGTCCAGGGGAATAGGCACTGCCCTAGTCCTGCTGCCACACTGTCCTTGCTCCAGGCCAAGATGCCCTTGGCCTCCTTGGCCATCTGGTCACACTGTTGGCTCACACTGAGCTGCTGCCACCAGCACTGCCAAGTCCTTTGTGACCAACACCTCTCCAGCCTCTCCTCCCCCAGCCTGGAGCTCTGTGGGGGTTGTTGTGTCCCGAGGGCAGGACCAGCACTGAGCCTGATTGACCCTCCTGAAGTTCTCAGCCTATTGATGGGTCAGTCCAGGTCTCCCTGTAGAGCTTTCCTACCCTCAGGCAGCTCCACACTCCCACTCAGCTTGGTGTTGGTTGCAGGCGTGGTGCTGTTCGAAGGGTCAGGGCATGAGCAGCCAGGGGAGCAGTGCCAGGGCTGAGTGGGAGCCCCTGGGGCTGGTGAGCAGGGCTGAGTGGTGTGGTGGGTCCATCTGGTGCCCATCACCCCCTGCTCAGCACTGGCACAGGGAGGCACAGCCCCTGCCCTGACCTTCCCTGATCCCTCTCAGGAACAGCTTGGAAAGGGGCTAGGAGAGGAGGGGAAAAAATGCACTTAGACATCAGCAGTGTTGGTGAATCAGAAAGCAAAGGGAAGGGATGATGAGAGGCTGCAAAAAATGCCACTGCCCAATTAATTACTTGGTTTGTTAATTACTTGGTTGGTTAATTAGCTGATCAGCTTTGTCCTGTACAGCATCCTCCCTGTGAGGAAATGTTTGTTGCTCAGCCTGGAATTCCCAAGATTCTTCCCATATCCATACCATTACTCACAAAGGCATCCCCTGCAAGTGCACACACACATCCAGGTGGGCCCTGCTCCCAGCCCCATCCATGTCCCACACCAGTGCTTCCCATCCCTCTGGAGCTGTGGCAGCACCAGTATCCTGCTGGGCCCTGCTCGCAGCCCCATCAATGTCCCACACCAGTGCTTCCCATCCCTCTGGAGCTGTGGCAGCACCAGCATCCAAGTGGGCCCTGCTCCCAGCCCCATCCAGGCCCCAGAGCAGTGCTTCCCATCCCTCTGGAGCTGTGGCAGCACCAGCAAGAGTCAGTAATTTAATTTCTTCTTGAAAAGGGGAGTGACAAAAATAAAGGACCTCTTAGAACACAGCCCAAGTGCTCTGAGCACCTGCCCCAGCCCTGCTCAGGAGCCTGTTGTGGTCCAGATGTCGATGCTGCGGATGATGAGCCACTCGCTCTGGCCCTGGGTCACTCGGATCCTCACGCACTCCACGGGGCTGGGAATGCCTCTCTCCAGCCCCCTCTGCTCCAGGGTTCCCTTCTCAAAAGTGCCCACTGTGATGTAGGCAGTGCAGTCCCTGCCATCAGCCTGTCTGTGCCGGCCCAGCTCCAGCACCCCCGAGCGCAGGATGTCACCTCGGCGCTCGTCCGAGCCCGTGCGCACCCGGACGCGGGAGACACGCGCTGGCTGCTGGAACACGATGGAGAAGGTGCTCCCAGCTGCTGGGGATTTCCCCCAGAAATACCCCTCTGCTGAGCTGTAGGCCTTGAGGGGCTCATAGTTCTCAAAGACAGACATGCTGGTGTACAAAGACGCTGGGGGGTTGTCCGGAAGGTCGAAGGCATCGGCCTGGAAATCATCGTCCTCCAGCCGGTTGACGGTGCCCTGGAAGGAGGAGTAGAGGCCCATGTGCTGGAAGAGGGATGGCTTGAAGCGGATCACGTCCTTCTGGGTGAGCAGGAGGCGAAAGTGAACCAGCAGCCAGTCACAAGGCATTTCCTGGTAGAAGAGCAGGAGGAAGCGAGCCAGGCGAGGGAGGTCGCTGGAGCGGTAGAGCTTCCCGATGTAGCCCAGCTTGGAGAACTCCAGAGTGGCCCAGTTGGAGCCTTGCTGGGAATCCAGTGCCTTACGGATGGCTGTGAGGAAGGACTTGGCACACCACACATCATCCTCAATCATCAGGTAGTAGGAGGAGAGGTTGGCGGCGAAGGCGAGGAGGAAAGCGTAGTCCACGTTCTGCTTGGAGCGGAACTTCACACGCGCCTCGGGGTCGTTGTAGTTCCTCTTGAGACCTTCCAGGGTGGGGTAAAGCTCGTGGGGAGCATGGATGAGCAGGAGTTGTCCCAGAAGGATGTGCCGGGAGAACTTCTGGGCGATGTTGACAGCAACACGCACATTCCAGCTGGGATCCTCATCTGCCAGGTGCACCACCACCACCATCTCCTGCAGCTCCTCCTCCGTGGACTGGCTGAAGAGGGACTGGAGTGTGGCTGAGAGGTAGTAGCCGCGTGGGCGCCGCACCGACGACAATCCCACCGCCAGGAACCCTGTGAGGAAAAGGAGAGGCATCAGCAGGCTGAGGGGAGACCTGGGGTGCACCACGGGGAGGTTCTGCCCTGCAGGACACAAGGAGAGGCCTCCAAAAATCTCTCCTCATGAGCAGCCTGCATGGTTAGTGCTATTTGTGGCCCCATGTGCAAGGTCAAGTCCCTCCTTGAGGCTGTAGCCCCCAATGTCTCCAGAGGGGCCCAATGGCACAGAGAGCACATGAGGAGGCAGGAGCTCCTTGGAGGAAGAAATACTTGGGAAAAACACCTTAAAAAAGCCAAACTTGGGGAAGTAACAGTGCAGAGAGTATATGGGGCAGGAGTGGCTTGTTGGCTTGGCTGCACATCCTGAAGTGTGACCCTGCCCTACTGTGATCCTCCTGGAGATACACCCACACTGGGATGAGGCATCATCCTTCTGCCCTGCTCATGGCCTGGGGTGGCTGCCCATGTTCAGCTTTTCCTGCTGCTGGTCTGCACGTGCTGCACCTCTGGCTCCAGCATGGCCTCCCCTGGGGCTGCACTAAGCTCCTGCTGTGGGGTTTACATGTGAATGGCATCTCCCACACTATGTGGTGGTCCAGCTCCACCATCTCCACAGGAACCTCAACCCCAGGGAGATGGGATCTGTCACTCTCCCCTCTGGAAAATCCAAAACACCTGCAATCACCCCAGTCCAAAGGTGCAGAAATACAGACCATGCTTGCAGCATGTGGCTAGTCCCCTAACCCTCCACCTCCCCAGACAGAGCAGTGAGGGCTGAGGAGGAGCTCACAGGGTGCTGGCAGGTCCCCCAGCCCAACAGGAAGGACACAGCCCCCTCCCCACCCCAGCAGCAGCAGCAGCAACGGGGCAGGTCCATGCTGGGATGGGACAGATGTGCAGACCCAGAGCACAGCTGAGTGCAGGGTCCTGGAGCCACTCACTCTTGCGAGGTGACACGGAGCCAGCGAGGAGGTGGTAGGAGACATTGCGGAGTGCAGAGAGGTCATCCCTGTCCCTGAGGATGTGTTTGGCTCCCTCCGGCTGCAGCAGCTGCAGGATGGTGTCAGGGGCTAAGCTCCGAAGCTCCACCTGGATGGGAGCCACAGGCAGCCAGGTCAGACCCCAGAGCACACAGACAGTGTGAGCAAGGGGCAATGACAACATGGGGACACAGAAGCTAGGAGGAACCCCTGTCTTGCCCTCCAAGCTTCTGGATTCAGGGAAGTCCAGAGCAATCCCAGGGAAAGGAGAAGTCAGAGCTGAGGTTTGAGGGTGATATCATGCAGGGAAGGAAGCAGAGTTGGGGCTGGGGGCAGTGGGGGGCAGGAAGGGATGGAGGATGCATGGAGAGAAGGGAGACATCATAGCAAGCTGCCAGGAGCTGAAGGGGCTCCAGGGAAACTGCAGAGGGACTCTTGGTTAGGAGCTGCAGGGACAGGACAAGGAGGAATGGGAGAAAATTTGAAGAGGGAAATTTAGATTAGCTATTAGGAAGAAGTTTTCCCTGTGAGGGTTGTGAGACACTGGCACAGGAAGGCTGTGGTTGCCCCAAGGAGGCTGTAGTTGCCCCAGGGAGGCTGTGGATGTCCCAAGGAGGCTGTGGATGCCCCAGGGAGGCTGTGGATGCCCCAAGAGGAGGCTCTGGATGCCTCAACCCTGGCAATATTCATTCTAGGTTGGATAAAACCTTGAGCAACCTGCTCTGGTGGGAGGTGTCCCTGCCCAGGGCAGGGGGTTGCACTGGATGATCTCTAGGCTCCATTCCAAGCCCTTAACATTATATTACACTATGGTCCAGTGACCCCTCCAAAGGGACATCACTGGTTGGGGACTCACCTCCGGGGGCTCCTGTTCCTGCCTGGTGCCCCCATGGAGGAGGAGGAGCAGGAGCAGGCAGGAGGCTGCGAGCACAGCTGAGAGGGAACGTTTCAGGGAGCATCGCATAGCACCGTGATGATAGCCCTGTGGGAAGAAGGGGCACATGAGGGCACAGCCTAGGGAAAACACCACCCCCTGGGTGAGATGGTGGGGCAGCACCTGGAGGCACTCCTGGTACTCAGCCCTCTGCCCAGAGCACCCAGGGGCAGCAGGAGGTGCTTGGGTACCCTGTCCTTAGGGCAGGACACCCCAACCCAGCCAGGAGAAACATCAGCCAGGTGCAAAATACACCCCAGCAGCCCTGCAACACCCCAACTGCTTTGTGACACCCTGTGCAGTACCCCCAGAGCTGAGGGCAGTAGAAAAGCAGGTGACATGTGCCTCAGGGTAGGCTTTCAGGTCATGGTGACACCCCAGGAGCAGCCACCAAGGCCTCAGGACTTGGCACCAAGCCCTGGGAAACACTCAGGTCTCAGATGAGCCCAGGCTGCTCTTCCAGCACTGTGAGGACAAAGCAGCCCCAGCCTCTCCTGCCTGCCCAGCTGCCTCCAGGCCCTCGCCCTGGCCCTTGCTTGGTAGGACAAGAAAGCTGTCCCAGAGGGGGCAGAACTTCACCTTCAAGGAACTTGTAGTGTCCTTGAGATGTTTTCCCTTGTAGCAGAGGTGTGGCAGGAGCCTAAAAGGCTCCTGTGTTTGCCTGGTTTTTTTCCATTATCAATATGACCAGGGCTGCCCTGGAAGATAAGAAACTGGAGACAGAGTGAATGCCCAGACACACTCAGCCCCATCCAAACTGCTCACAGCACCTTGGCTGATCTTGGTCAAAGCCTCTTTGAATGGAGAAAAAAACCCTCCTAAACTTTCCCAACCCCAAATCCAGCTGAGCTTCCCAGGACTTCTCCCTGAACACATCCCTGCACCAAGCACTGCTGTGTAGAGGATGCTCCCAGCCCACCCGTGAGCCCCAGATGGCAATACAGCTCCTTTGTGGCTGCTGCCCTGGAGCATGTGCTGGGCTTATTTCAGGGAGAAATCCCCAGTTTTCCTGCCCAGGAGGGGTGTCTGCACCTCGGCAGGCAGAGCAGGTCCCGCTGGAGGCAGCAGCCAGGCCGTCCTTGCGGCACTGACCTTTCCTGGGAATGCCACTCGTCCCGCGGAGATAAGAGCCTGGAGCCAGGGAGCTGCTCTCGGGCTGGGCTGAGCCTGGCTGGGAGAGCAGGGGAGACACCTCCCCCGAGCTGGAACCCAGCCCTGGGTTAGCTCCCCAATCCACACAGGAGGACAACGAGCTCCTGGAGCTGTTTGAACACCCCATCCAGGTCACAGCAGAGAGTGGGTGCAGCCCCTCCTTGCCCTGCAGCTATGGGACATGGGGAGCTGGGGGGGAGCAGCATTAGGGACACATCCAAGCCACGGGGATGAAATTCACCTCCACCCTGGAGGTGAATTTCCAAGCCCTGAAACTACCTGGAGGTGAATTTCCGAGCCCTGAAGCCACCCTGGAGGTGGATTTCTAAGCCTTGAAGCCACCCTGGAGCTGGATTTCCAAGCCAGAACCTCCGTGATGCACCGAGGCCTTGGGATGAGCTGGCAGCTGTGAGGTTTGGCAGCCAACCCTGAGCTGGGCTGGGTATTTGGCCTCTCTGGGTGGTCAAAGGTTTTCCTGGCTCCTAGGGAATGTCTGGCTGCCAAGGGCACATCCTGGATGGAAACCCAGGTGGTGCTCAGCACCCTCAGCTCACACAGGCAGCAGCTTCATCCAAGGAGCTCAGCGAGCCCAGGGGGAATGGGGAGTCACACACCCCTCCAGCATGGCAGGCTTAACAGAACACATGGTAACGACCACTGCCCCATAATTAGCCCCTAATTGAGCTTTGGATTTTGGCCTCCATGGAGCAACAGATGGGCACACCCAGGGACCTCAGCACCTCACCAAGGTGCAGCATCCTCTCAGCTTCAGCTT